GTTTGAAATCTGATTTTTTTCAGGGGCAAAAGGAAGCCTCTGCATTCTTGTCAAATATGTAAACAGCATGTTTTTGCAGGTGCTAAAAAACAGACTCTGAGTGTGTGTGTGTGTGTGTGTGTGTGTGTGTGTGTGTGTGTGTGTGTGTGTGTGTGTGTGTGTGTGTGTGTGTGTGTATATGTGTGTGTATCCTGCAGTACTCTGTAATCCTGCAGTGGCCAAAAAGACTTTTAAGAATGTGGATTTTTGGGTCATCTTTGGCGCCCCCTAGAACTGCAGTACTCTGTACTCCTGCAGTGGCCAAAATGACTTTTAAGAATGTGGATTTTTGGGTCATCTTTGGTGCCCCCTAAAACGTAAACCGTGGGGTGCAGCGTCATGATTTTTACAACTTTGAATGGGCATGGGGTGTAGATTGCCCTGAGCAAATTTGGTATCGGTGGGACGAAAGCCTTAGGAGGAGATAGCCACATTCCAATGTGTGCGAATCGGCAAAAAATGCGAAATAGCCCTTTAACCGTACATTATTCAGATACGCGCTTTTTGACTTTTTCGTAGATCTAATTGAGATACACGTGATTGTCAATTTTTGTGTCAATATGACAAAGCGTTCAGGCATGACACTCAACAATGTGTATTTTCATGTAAGGGGACAAGAAAAAATTGACTTTTTTCTCCTGCCATGGGGGGGCGCTCTTTTGGGGAGTAAAAATTCATTCACAAATGTGTTGATGGCTGGACATTGCATCATCCTAGAAAACTTGGAGGCCAGTGAGGGCAAAAATAAAAAGTTATAAGACTTTTAAATATGTGGATTTTAGGGTTATCTTTGGCGCCCCCTAGAACCTAAACCGTGGGGTGCAGCATCATGATTTGAATAACTTTTAATGGCCATGGGGTGTAGATTGGCCTGAGCAAATGTGGTGCCGGTGGAACGAAAGCCTTCGGAGGAGTTAGCGAAATTCCAATGTGTGCAGATCGGCAAAAAATGCGCAATAACCCTTTAACCGTACATTTGACAGATACGCCCGCACTGACTTTTTTGTAGATCTTATTGAGATACATGTGTGTGTCAATTTTTGTGTCATTTTGACAAAGCGTACAGGCGTCAGGTGAATTTTTCACCTTAGGGGGCGCTATGGAGCCATTTTGCATTGTATTGTTTGGGCGACTTCAGAATATCAAATTTTTCACCAGGCCCGGTCGTCCTGCCAAATTTCATGAGTTTTCGCCAGTGGGAAGTGGGCCATTTTCCAGTTCAAAGGGGAGGAAAAAGAACTAGGGCCCCGGTGGGGCACTGTCGGGCCCGAGCCGCGTCGCGCCGCCCCCAGCGCGACCGCCTCCCCCTCCCGATCGCATCACACTCAAGGTCCAAAGATGGTGTCCGCACTTGTCTGTGGTCATTTCCCATTATAATGAATGGGAGGCGCAGTTTCTACCAAAACGGTCGCTGCAGACAAACTACATGTCCTATTTGAAAAAAGTCTGGACCATGAGTGAGGGCACAAACACAGCTAGGATATATCCAAATGGCAAGTCGCTCCTCCTTACGGTGTTGCCAGGAGAGCGATGCGATTGAGCCATTGAGCGATGGGCAGGGTTAACTGGACTTTTTCTCCTGCCTTGGTGGGGGGGGGATGTGGATTCTTTTAAGAATGTGGATATTTGGGTCATCTTTGGCGCCCCCTAGAACGTAAACCGTGGGGTGCAGCGGCATGATTTTTACAACTTTGAATGGCCATGGGATGTAGATCGGCTTGAGCAAATTTGGTGTTGGTGGGAAGAAAGCCTTAGGAGGAGTTAGCCACATTCCAATGTGTGCGAATCGGCAAAAAATGCGAAATAGCCCTTTAACCGTACATTTTACAGATACGTGCCCATTGACTTTTTCGTAGATCTTATTGAGATACACGTGTGTGTCAAATTTTGTGTCATTTTGACAAAGCGCATAGGCGTGACAGTCAACAATGTGTTATTTCACCTTAGGGGACAAGAAAAAATGGACTTTTTTCTCCTGCCATGGGGGGGCGCTCTTTTCGGGAGTAAAAATTCCTTTGCAAATGTGTTGATGGCTGGACATTGCATCATCCTAGAAAACTTGGAGGCCAGTGAGGACAAAAATAAAAAGTTATAAGACTTTTAAGACTGTGGATTTTTGGGTTATCTTTGGCGCCCCCTAGAACCTAAACTCTGGAGTGCAGCGTCATGATTTGTACAACTTTTAATGGCCATGGGGTGTAGATTGGCCTGAGCAAATTTGGTGGCGGTGGAACTAAAGCCTTAGGAGGAGTTAGCGAAATTCCAATGTGTGCGGATCGGGAAAAAATGCGAAATAACCCTTTAACCGTACATTTTACAGATCGTGCCCATTGACTTTTTCGTAGATCTTATTGAGATACACGTGATTGTCAAATTTTGGGTCAATATGACAAAGTGTATAGGCGTGACACTCAACAATGTGTATTTTCACCTTAGGGGACAAGAAAAAATGGACTTTTTTCTCCTGCCATGTGGGGGCGCTCTTTTGGGGAGTAAAAATTCCTTCACAAATGTGTTGATGGCTGGACATTGCATCATCCTAGAGAACTTGGAGGCCAGTGAGGACAAAAATAAAAAGTTATAAGACTTTTAAGACTGTGGATTTTTGGGTTATCTTTGGCGCCCCCTAGAACGTAAACTGTGGGGTGCAGCGTCATGATTTGTACAACTTTTAATGGCCATGGGGTGTAGATTGGCCTGAGCAAATGTGGTGCCGGTGGAACGAATGCCTTCGGAGGAGTTAGCGAAATTCCAATGTGTGCAGATCGGCAAAAAATGCGAAATAACCCTCTAACCGTACATTTCACAGATGCGCCCGCGCTGACTTTTTCATAGACCGTATTGAGATACACGTGTGTGTCAATTTTTGTGTCAATATGACAAAGCGTACAGGCGTGACAGTCAATAGTGTGAATTTTCGCCTTAGGGGGCGCTATGGAGCCATTTTGCATTTTATTGTTTGGGCGACTTCAGAATATCGAATTTTTCACCAGGCCCGGTCGTCCTGCCAAATTTCCTGAGTTTTCGCCAGTGGGAAGTGGGCCATTTTCCAGTTTAAAGCGGAGGAAAAATAACGAAAGAAGAATCCATCAGGAACAAGAGGGCTCTCGCAGCTGCTTAGCAGCTACGCTCGGGCCCTAACTAGGACCCCGTTGGGGCACTGGCGGGCCCGAGCCGTGTCGCGTCCCCCCCCCCAACGTGCTGCCTCCCCGTCCCATTTGTGTCCTCTGGCCATCGCCCTCTCTGGTAACGCCCATCACTGCAAAGACCCTTTTCCTTCATCGGCGTTTGCTGTTCTTCCTGCCAGTGCGTGTTGCTTTCACTTACACTTGCCACAGCCAGCCTCGTGAGTGCCTAGCCTATTGGATATCACTGTCACCTACACAGGACAGTCATTACCTTTCTATTAATACTTTGTGTTTTAATTTCACATTAATTTCCATATTGTATAAACGACTGGAAAAAACTTGAGCCCCTGCCCCTGTATAATCATGTGCATGTCTCTGTTCTAGCTCCAAGGTGAATCTTCACTGCTCATGTTCTCCTCAGAAGCACTCACCTCACTCCCCTCAGGTTACTGTACACATGCACCAACTGCGTGCTTCAGGTTTGGATGGAGCTTCATGGTTGTCTTTTGGAGAAATGACCAGTCAAGTTGTGTTTGAAATTTGATTTTTTTCAGGGGCAAAAGGAGCCTCTGCATTCTTGTCAAATATGTAAATAGCATGTTTTTGCAGGTGCTAAAAACCAGACTCTGAGTGTGTGTGTGTGTGTGTGTGTGTGTGTGTGTGTGTGTGTGTGTGTGTGTGTGTGTGTGTCTGTGTGTGCGTTCAAGTCACATGACATATTTAACCGGATGTAGCTGCAAGACGGAGCCTCGTTGACTCTCCGTTTCAACTTATCTCAAAAGTGAGGACCTCAACCTATATACCAGTTTTTAAATTGTGTTGATAGGCCAAATAAAACCAGAGTTATGATAAATTATGTCCGCGATACTTTTTTTCTGCTTATTTTGATCACGTTCGGCGCTCGATCGCGCTGTATGAGACAGGAAAACATAGCATGCAGACATTAGCGACAGGTCTTACAGGCGGAAAAGGCTTGCCAAAAGAAAAAAAAAACACACCACAACATCTCTCCTATTGGTGGAAAACTTCACCACAACAACCAATCCAAAATTATATGGTGACTGATTGACAAGGGGCGGGCGCTTACGTTCTTCCTGCAACATGAGAAGCGAGGGAGGGACTCTCAGCAGGGATGCAGTCTGGGACACGTAGTTGCAAACCTAGCGACTTTGTTGTTAGATTCAATGACTTTTCAGACCCCCTAACGACTTTTTTTTAGAAAGAAAGGGACTTTTATCGACTTCTTCTGGAGTTTAGAGACTCTGACATGAAGCAGGCTTTCCTTACTGAGGAGTTAGCAACGCTGCTAAGGGTGCAGAGCCACACATGCGCTCAGAGCTCTGCATGGGAGACTGAAGCTGACAGAGCTGCAGCAGTTAGCAGGTTTCACCCTCAGAGACCACCAGGGGTTCATGTTGAGGCATTTTAATTTTTTTTTTTTTTGTGCCATAGACACTGTCAGCACAATCTGCAGTTACACTAACAAAAATGCTGCAAAAAACAAAGAATTATGGAAAAATTACACATGGACTGACATAGAGGAGGATCTACACAAGTTTTTTACATCATGTTTTACATCATGCATCATTTACATCATGTTTTTTTGTAGTGGCATAAATAAAAAGTGACATTTGTGAGACTATACAGTGTTTTGTAAATAATTTTACAAAGAACGCCTGGGCCATTGCCTGCATTTTGATGTAAATAGAGGTAAATCACTATGTTCTTTGTTAAAAATTTGCATATGTTTTGAAGTTTACAATTTTTATTTGAAGTTTAAGTTTTAAAAACAGTTCATCACACATATTTGTGGTTTTCACAGTAAAAATGTTACTTTTTTCCACTCGGATTTTATGTTTTGTGTGTGAATTTGGGTCCATTGTGTAAATTCAGTATGTCAACATGATAAAATAACTGTAAATTCGCACAGGTGAGGTTGTGCTGAAAAAAATGATACCAGGCAAGGCACGTGATTGTCAAATCTTGTGTCAATATGACAAAGGGTATAGGCGTGAATCTCAACAATATGTATTTTCACCTTAGGGGACAAGAAAAAATGGACTTTTTTCTCCTGCCATGGGGGGGGCGCTCTTTTGGGGAGTAAAAATTCCTTCACAAATGTGTTGATGGCTGGACATTGCATCATCCTAGAAAACTTGGAGGCCAGTGAGGACAAAAATAAAAAGTTATAAGACTTTGAAATATGTGGATTTTAGGGTTATTTTTGGCGCCCCCTAGAACCTAAACCGTGGGGTGCAGCGTCATGATTTGAATAACTTTTAATGGCCATGGGGTGTAGATTGGCCTGAGCAAATGTGGTGCCGGTGGAACGAAAGCCTTCGGAGGAGTTAGCCACATTCCAATGTGTGCGTATCGGCAAAAAATGCGGAATAACCCTTTAACCGTACATTTGACAGATACGCGCTCATAGACTTTTTTGTAGATCTTATTGAGATACATGTGTGTGTCAATTTTTGTGTCATTTTGCCAAAGCGTAAAGGCGTGACACTCAACAATGTGTATTTTCACCTTAGGGGACAAGAAAAAATGGACTTTTTTCTCCTGCCATGGGGGGGCGCTCTTTTGGGGAGTAAAAATTCCTTCACAAATGTGTTGATGGCTGGACATTGCATCATCCTAGAAAACTTGGAGGCCAGTGAGGACAAAAATAAAAAGTTATAAGACTTTTAAATATGTGGATTTTAGGGTTATTTTTGGCGCCCCCTAGAACGTAAACCGTGGGGTGCAGCGTCATGATTTGAATAACTTTTAATGGCCATGGGGTGTAGATTGGCCTGAGCAAATGTGGTGCCGGTGGAACGAAAGCCTTCGGAGGAGTTAGCGAAATTCCAATGTGTGCAGATCTGCAAAAAATGCAAAATAACCCATTAACCGTACATTTGACAGATACGCCCGCACTGACTTTTTTGTAGATCTTATTGAGATACATGTGTGTGTCAATTTTTGTGTCAATATGACAAAGCGTACAGCCGTCATGTGAATTTTCACCTTAGGGGGCGCTATGGAGCCATTTTGCATTTTATTGTTTGGGCGACTTCGGAATATCAAATTTTTCACCAGGCCCGGTCGTCCTGCCAAATTTCATGAGTTTTCGCCAGTGGGAAGTGGGCCATTTTCCAGTTCAAAGGGGAGGAAAAAGAAAAAAGAAACAAAGAACTAGGGCCCCGGTGGGGCACTGTCGGGCCCGAGCCGCGTCGCGCCGCCCCCAGTGCGACCGCCTCCCCGTCCCGATCGAGTCACACTCAAGAACCAAAGATGGTGTGCGCACTTGTCTGTGGTCATTTCCCATTATAATGAATGGGAGGCGCAGTTTCTACCAAAACACTCGCTGCAGACAAACTTCATGTCCTATTTGAAAAAAGTCTGGACCATGAGTGAGGGCACAAACACAGCTATGATATATCGAAATGCCAGGTTGCTCCTCCTTACGGTGTTGCCTGGAGAGCGATGCGATTGAGCCATTGAGCGATGGGCAGGAAAAACTTGACTTTTTCTCCTGCCATAGGGGGGGGGATGTGGATTCTTTTAAGAATGTGGATTTTTGGGTCCTCTTTGGCGCCCCCTAGAACGTAAACCGTGGGGTGCAGCGTCATGATTTTTACAACTTTGAATGGCCATGGGGTGTAGATTGGCCTGAGCAAATTTGGTGTCAGTGGGACGAAAGCCTTAGGAGGAGTTAGCCACATTCCAATGTGTGCGAATCGGCAAAAAATGAAAAATAGCCCTTTAACCGTACATTTGACAGATACGCGCGAATTGACTTTTTTGTAGATCTTATTGAGATACATATGTGTGTCAATTTTTGTGTCAATATGATAAAGCGTACAGGCGTGACAGTCAATAGTGTGAATTTCCACCTTAGGGGACAAGAAAAAATTGACTTTTTTCTCCTGCCATGGGGGGGCGCTCTTTTGGGGAGTAAAAATTCCTTCACAAATGTGTTGATGGCTGGACATTGCATCATCCTAGAAAACTTGGAGGCCAGTGAGGACAAAAATAAAAAGTTATAAGACTTTTAAAAATGTGGATTTTAGGGTTATCTTTGGCGCCCCCTAGAACCTAAACCGTGGGATGCAGCGTCATGATTTGAATAACTTTTAATGGCCATGGGGTGTAGATTGGCCTGAGCAAATGTGGTGCCGGTGGAACGAAAGCCTTCGGAGGAGTTAGCGAAATTCCAATGTGTGCGGATCGGCAAAAAATGCGGAATAACCCTTTAACCGTACATTTGACAGATACGCGCGCATTGACTTTTTCGTAGATCTTATTGAGATACATGTGTGTGTCAATTTTTGTGTCATTTTGCCAAAGCGTACAGGTGTTACACTCAACAATGTGTATTTTCACCTTAGGGGACAAGAAAAAATTGACTTTTTTCTCCTGCCATGGGGGGGCGCTCTTTTGGGGAGTAAAAATTCCTTCACAAATGTGTTGATGGCTGGACATTGCATCATCCTAGAAAACTTGGAGGCCAGTGAGGGCAAAAATAAAAAGTTATAAGACTTTTAAATATGTGGATCTTAGGGTTATCTTTGGCGCCCCCTAGAACCTAAACCTTGGGGTGCAGCGTCATGATTTGAATAACTTTTAATGGCCATGGGGTGTAGATTGGCCTGAGCAAATGTGGTGCCGGTGGAACGAAAGCCTTCGGAGGAGTTAGCGAAATTCCAATGTGTGCGGATCGGCAAAAAATGCGAAATAACCCTTTAACCGTACATTTGACAGATACGCCCGCACTGACTTTTTTGTAGATCTTACTGAGATACATGTGTGTGTCAATTTTTGTGTCATTTTGACAAAGCGTACAGGCGTGACAGTCAATAGTGTGAATTTTCACCTTAGGGGGCGCTATGGAGCCATTTTGCATTTTCTTGTTTGGGCGACTTCGGAATATCAAATTTTTCACCAGGCCCGGTCGTCCTGCCAAATTTCATTAGTTTTCGCGGGTGGGAAGTGGGCCATTTTCCAGTTCAAAGGGGAGGAAAAATAATAATAACAAAAGAAGGAAACATGCAGGAACAAGAGGGCTCTCGCAGCTGCTTAGCAGCTACGCTCGGGCCCTAAAAACCACTTGGGGAATAATAGGGCTCTCGCAGCTGCTTAGCAGCTACGCTCGGGCCCTAAAAAAGAAACAAAGAAAAACCACTTGGGGAATAATAGGGCTCTCGCAGCTGCTTAGCAGCTACGCTCGGGCCCTAACTAGGGCCCCGGTGGGGCACTGTCGGGCCCGAGCCGCGTCGCGCCGCCTCCCCCTCCCGATCGCATCACACTCAAGGTCCAAAGATGGTGTGCGCACTTGTCTGTGGTCATTTCCCATTATAATGAATGGGAGGCGCAGTTTCTACCAAAACGGTCGCTGCAGACAAACTACATGTCCTATTTGAAAAAAGTCTGGACCATGAGTGAGGGCACAAACACAGCTAGGATATATCCAAATGGCAAGTTGCTCCTCCTTACGGTGTTGCCAGGAGAGCGATGCGATTGAGCCATTGAGCGATGGGCAGGGTTAACTGGACATTTTCTCCTGCCTTGGGGGGGGGGGGGGATTCTTTTAAGAATGTGGATATTTGGGTCATCTTTGGCGCCCCCTAGAACGTAAACCATGGGGTGCAGCGGCATGATTTTTACAACTTTGAATGGCCATGGGATGTAGATCGGCTTGAGCAAATTTGGTGTCGGTGGGAAGAAAGCCTTAGGAGGAGTTAGCCACATTCCAATGTGTGCGAATCGGCAAAAAATGCGAAATAGCCCTTTAACCGTACATTTTACAGATACGTGCCCATTGACTTTTTCGTAGATCTTATTGAGATACACGTGTGTGTCAAATTTTGTGTCATTTTGACAAAGCGTATAGGCGTGACAGTCAACAATGTGTTTTTTCACCTTAGGGGACAAGAAAAAATGGACTTTTTTCTCCTGCCATGGGGGGGCGCTCTTTTCGGGAGTAAAAATTCCTTTACAAATGTGTTGATGGCTGGACATTGCATCATCCTAGAGAACTTGGAGGCCAGTGAGGACAAAAATAAAAAGTTATAAGACTTTTAAGACTGTGGATTTTTGGGTTATCTTTGGCGCCCCCTAGAACGTAAACCGTGGGGTGCAGCGTCATGATTTGTACAACTTTTAATGGCCATGGGGTGTAGATTGGCCTGAGCAAATGTGGTGCCGGTGGAACGAAAGCCTTCGGAGGAGTTAGCGAAATTCCAATGTGTGCGGATCGGCAAAAAATGCGAAATAGCCCTTTAACCGTACATTTGACAGATACGCCCGCACTGACTTTTTTGTAGATCTTATTGAGATACATGTGTGTGTCAATTTTTGTGTCAATATGACAAAGCGTAAAGGCGTGACAGTCTATAGTGTGAATTTTCGCCTTAGGGGGCGCTATGGAGCCATTTTGCATTTTATTGTTTGGGCGACTTCAGAATATCGAATTTTTCACCAGGCCCATTCGTCCTGCCAAATTTCATGAGTTTTCGCCAGTGGGAAGTGGGCCATTTTCCCCTTCAAAGGGGAGGAAAAATAAGAAGAAAGAAAGAAAGAACTAGGGCCCCGTTGGGGCACTGGCGGGCCCGAGCCGTGTCGCGCTGCCCCCCCCAACGCGCTGCCTCCCCGTCCCATTCGCGTCCTCTGGCCATCGCCCTCTCTGGTAACGCCCATCACTGCAAAGGCTCTTTCCTTCATCGGCGTTTGCTGTTCTTCCTGCCAGTGCGTGTTGCTTTCACTTACACTTGCCACAGCCAGCCTCGTGAGTGCCTAGCCTATTGGATATCACTGTCATCTACACAGGACAGTCATAACCTTTCTATTAATACTTGTTTTTTAATTTCACATTAATTTCAATATTGTATAAATGACTGGAAAAAACTTGAGCCCCTGCCCCTGTATAATCATGTGCACGTCCCTGTTCTAGCTCCAAGGTGAATCTTCACTGCTCATGTTCTCCTCAGAAGTAGTCACCTCACTTTCCTCAGGTGACTGTACACATGCACCAACTGCCTGCTTCAGGTTTGGATGGAGCTTCATGGTTGTCTTTTGGAGAAATGAGCAGTCAAGTTGTGTTTGAAATTTGATTTTTTTCAGGGGCAAAAAGGGGCCTCTGCATTCTAGTCAAATATGTAAATAGCATGTTTTTGCAGGTGCTAAAAAAAAGACTCTGAGTGTGTGTGTGTGTATATCCTGCAGTACTCTGAGAAGAATAATAAGCATATTTCTGAGGTGAATTTTGAAGATTCATCTGAGAGTTAGGAGGGCTGATCATTCCCTTACCCTTTAGATGTCTGTCTATGTCTGTTTTTGTGTGATAATGAAAGAATCCCAACTCAAAAAGGCTCTGTTGATGTTTTTTTTTTGTTGTTGTTCATTCATATTCAAACCACTATTTTATATCACTGCTAATACGCCAAGACCATTTTATGGAATTTAGCTTTATTATTTCTATACATTTTGCAAGGAAAGAAACCAAGGCCTTCACTAAAATTTCCATAAACTTTAGGAAAGGACCTCTGGTTGTTTAACGGGGTCATTACTGCAAAAACATATTCTTCCTAAATTTTGAAGGTCAAACCTTAGATCCATTAGGTTTAAATTATCAAAAGCATTAAAATATGTCAGGATTATAGCATATGACAAATATGTGCCTTTCAGTGGCCACAACTACTTTGTCTGCTGGCTCTGCAGGTTTCACCCTCAGAGACCACCAGGGGTTCATGTTGAGGCATTTTCAGTTTTTTTTTTTTTTTGCCATAGACACTGTCAGCACAATCTGCAGTTACACTAACAAAAATGCTGCAAAAAACAAAGAATTATGGAAAAATTACACATGGACTGACATAGAGGAGGATCTACACAAGTTTTTTACATCATGTTTTACATCATGCATCATTTACATCATGTTTTTTTGTAGTGGCATAAATAAAAAGTGACATTTGTGAGACTATACAGTGTTTTGTAAATAATTTTACAAAGAACGCCTGGGCCATTGCCTGCATTTTGATGTAAATAGAGGTAAATTACTATGTTCTTTGTTAAAAATTTGCATATGTTTTGAAGTTTACAATTTTTATTTGAAGTTTAAGTTTTAAAAACAGTTCATCACACATATTTGTGGTTTAATTTCACATTAATTTCCATATTGTATAAATGACTGGAAAAAACTTGAGCCCCTGCCCCTGTATAATCATGTGCACGTCCCTGTTCTAGCTCCAAGGTGAATCTTCACTACTCATGTTCTCCTCAGAAATAGTCACCTCACTCCCCTCAGGTTACTGTACACATGCACCAACTATCTGCTTCAGGTTTGAAATGGAGCTTCATGGTTGTCTTTTGGAGAAATGAACAGTCAAGTTGTGTTTGAAATTTGATTTTTTTCAGGGGCAAAAGGAAGTCTCTGCATTGTTGTCAAATATGTAAATAGCATGTTTTTGCAGGTGCTGAAAAACAGACTCTGAGTGTGTATGTGTGTGTGTGTGTGTGTGTGTGTGTGTGTGTGTCTGTGTGTGCGTTCTAGTCACATGACACATTATATCGGATGTAGCTGCAAGACGGAGCCTCGTTGACTCTCCGTTTCAACTTATCTCAAAAGTGAGGACCTCAACCTATATACCAGTTTTTAAATTGTGTTGATAGGCCAAATAAAACCAGAGTTATGATAAATTATGTCCGCGATACTTTTTTTCTGCTTATTTTGATCACGTTCGGCGCTCGATCGCGCTGTATGAGACAGGAAAACATAGCATGCAGACATTAGCGACAGGTCTTACAGGCGGAAAAGGCTTGCCAAAAGAAAAAAAAAACACACCACAACATCTCTCCTATTGGTGGAAAACTTCACCACAACAACCAATCCAAAATTATATGGTGACTGATTGACAAGGGGCGGGCGCTTACGTTCTTCCTGCAACATGAGAAGGGAGGGAGGGACTCTCAGCAGGGATGCAGTCTGGGACACGTAGTTGCAAACCTAGCGACTTTGTTGTTAGATTCAATGACTTTTCAGACCCCCTAACGACTTTTTTTTAGAAAGAAAGGGACTTTTATCGACTTCTTCTGGAGTTTAGAGACTCTGACATGAAGCAGGCTTTCCTTACTGAGGAGTTAGCAACGCTGCTAAGGGTGCAGAGCCACACATGCGCTCAGAGCTCTGCATGGGAGACTGAAGCTGACAGAGCTGCAGCAGTTAGCAGGTTTCACCCTCAGAGACCACCAGGGGTTCATGTTGAGGCATTTTAAATTTTTTTTTTTTTTTGTGCCATAGACACTGTCAGCACAATCTGCAGTTACACTAACAACTAGGGCCCCGTTGGGGCACTGGCGGGCCCGAGCTGTGTCGCCCCCCCCCCCCCCCCCCAACGCGCTGCCTCCCCGTCCCATTCGCGTCCTCTGGCCATCGTCCTCTCTGGTAACGCCCATCACTGCAAAGACCCTTTTCCTTCATCGGCGTTTGCTGTTCTTCCTGCCAGTGCGTGTTGCTTTCACTTACACTTGCCACAGCCAGCCTTGTGAGTGCCTAGCCTATTGGATATCACTGTCACCTACACAGGACAGTCATTACCTTTCTATTAATACTTTGTTTTTTAATTTCACATTAATTTCCATATTGTATAAACGACTGGAAAAAACTTGAGCCCCTGCCCCCGTATAATCATGTGCACGTCCCTGTTCTCGCTCCAAGGTGAATCTTCACTGCTCATGTTCTCCTCAGAAGCAGTCACCTCACTCCCCTCAGGTTACTGTACACATGCACCAACTGCCTGCTTCAGGTTTGGATGGAGCTTCATGGTTGTCTTTTGGAGAAATGAGCAGTCAAGTTGTGTTAGGAATTTGATTTTTTTCAGGGGCAAAAGGAAGCCTCTGCATTGTTGTCAAATATGTAAATAGCATGTTTTTGCAGGTGCTAAAAAACAGACTCTGAGTGTGTGTGTGTGTGTGTGTGTGTGTGTGTGTGTGTCTGTGTGTCTGTGTGTGTGTATCCTGCAGTACTCTGTACTCCTGCAGTGGCCAAAACGACTTTTAAGAATGTGGATATTTGGGTCATCTTTGGCGCCCCCTAGAACGTAAACCATGGGGTGCAGCGGCATGATTTTTACAACTTTGAATGGCCATGGGGTGTAGATTGGCCTGAGCAAATTTGGTGTCAGTGGGACGAAAGCCTTAGGAGGAGTTAGCCACATTCCAATGTGTGCGAATCGGCAAAAAATGCAAAATAGCCCTTTAGCCGTACATTTTACAGATACGCGCCCATTGACTTTTTCGTAGATCTTATTGAGATACACGTGTGTGTCAAATTTTTTGTCAATACGACAAAGCGTACAGGCGTGACACTCAACAATGTGTATTTTCACCTTAGGGGACAAGAAAAAATGGACTTTTTATTCCTGCCATGGGGGGGCGCTCTTTTGGGGAGTAAAAATTCCTTCACAAATGTGTTGATGGCTGGACATTGCATCATCCTAGAAAACTTGGAGGCCAGTGAGGACAAAAAAAAAAAATTATAAAACTTTTAAGAATGTGGATTTTTGGGTTATTTTTGGCGCCCCCTAGAACCTAAACCATGGGGTGCAGCATTATGATTTGTACAACTTTGAACGGCCATGGAGTGTAGATTGGCCTGAGCAAATGTGGTGCCGGTGGAACGAAAGCCTTCGGAGGAGTTAGCAAAATTCCAATGTGTGCGGATCTGCAAAAAATGCAAAATAACCCTTTAACCGTACATTTGACAGATACGCCCGCACTGACTTTTTTGTAGATCTTATTGAGATACATATGTGTGTTAATTTTTGTGTCAATATGACAAAGCGTACAGGCGTGACAGTTAATAGTGTGAATTTTCACCTTAGGGGGCGCTATGGAGCCATTTTGCATTTTCTTGTTTGGGCGACTTCAGAATATCGAATTTTTCACCAGGCCCGGTCGTCCTGCCAAATTTCATGAGTTTTCGCCAGTGGGAAGTGGGCCATTTTCCAGTTTAAAGCGGAGGAAAAATAATAACTAGGACCCCGTTGGGGCACTGGCGGGCCCGAGCCGTGTCGCGTCCCCCCCCCCAACGTGCTGCCTCCCCGTCCCATTTGTGTCCTCTGGCCATCGCCCTCTCTGGTAACGCCCATCACTGCAAAGACCCTTTTCCTTCATCGGCGTTTGCTGTTCTTCTTGCCAGTGCGTGTTGCTTTCACTTACACTTGCCACAGCCAGCCTCGTGAGTGCCTAGCCTATTGGATATCACTGTCACCTACACAGGACAGTCATTACCTTTCTATTAATACTTTGTGTTTTAATTTCACATTAATTTCCATATTGTATAAACGACTGGAAAAAACTTGAGCCCCTGCCCCTGTATAATCATGTGCATGGATCTGTTCTAGCTCCAAGGTGAATCTTGACTGCTCATGTTCTCCTCAGAAGCACTCACCTCACTCCCCTCAGGTTACTGTACACATGCACCAACTGCCTGCTTCAGGTTTGGATGGAGCTTCATGGTTGTCTTTTGGAGAAATGACCAGTCAATTTGTGTTTGAAATTTGATTTTTTTCAGGGGCAAAAGGAGCCTCTGCATTCTTGTCAAATATGTAAATAGCATGTTTTTGCAGGTGCTAAAAACCAGACTCTGAGTGTGTGTGTGTGTGTGTGTGTGTGTCTGCGTGTGTGTGTGTCTGTGTGTGCGTTCAAGTCACATGACATATTTAACCGGATGTAGCTGCAAGACGGAGCCTCGTTGACTCTCCGTTTCAACTTATCTCAAAAGTGAGGACCTCAACCTATATACCAGTTTTTAAATTGTGTTGATAGGCCAAATAAAACCAGAGTTATGATAAATTATGTCCGCGATACTTTTTTTCTGCTTATTTTGATCACGTTCGGCGCTCGATCGCGCTGTATGAGACAGGAAAACATAGCATGCAGACATTAGCGACAGGTCTTACAGGCGGAAAAGGCTTGCCAAAAGAAAAAAAAAACACACCACAACATCTCTCCTATTGGTGGGAAACTTCACCACAACAACCAATCCAAAATTATATGGTGACTGATTGACAAGGGGCGGGAGCTTACGTTCTTCCTGCAACATGAGAAGGGAGGGAGGGACTCTCAGCAGGGATGCAGTCTGGGACACGTAGTTGCAAACCTAGCGACTTTGTTGTTAGATTCAATGACTTTTCAGACCCCCTAACGACTTTTTTTAGAAAGAAAGGGACTTTTATCGACTTCTTCTGGAGTTTAGAGACTCTGACATGAAGCAGGCTTTCCTTACTGAGGAGTTAGCAACGCTGCTAAGGGTGCAGAGCCACACATGCGCTCAGAGCTCTGCATGGGAGACTGAAGCTGACAGAGCTGCAGCAGTTAGCAGGTTTCATCCTCAGAGACCACCAGGGGTTCATGTTGAGGCATTTTAAATTTTTTTTTTTTTTTTGTGCCATAGACACTGTCAGCACAATCTGCAGTTACACTAACAAAAATGCTGCAAAAAACAAAGAATTATGGAAAAATTACACATGGACTGACATAGAGGAGGATCTACACAAGTTTTTTACATCATGTTTTACATCATGCATCATTTACATCATGTTTTTTTGTAGTGGCATAAATAAAAAGTGACATTTGTGAGACTATACAGTGTTTTGTAAATAATTTTACAAAGAACGCCTGGGCCATTGCCTGCATTTTGATGTAAATAGAGGTAAATCACTATGTTCTTTGTTAAAAATTTGCATATGTTTTGAAGTTTACAATTTTTTTTGAAGTTTAAGTTTTAAAAACAGTTCATCACACATATTTGTGGTTTTCACAGTAAAAATGTTACTTTTTTCCACTCGGATTTTATGTTTTGTGTGTGAATTTGGGTCCATTGTGTAAATTCAGTATGTCAACATGATAAAATAACTGTAAATTCGCACAGGTGAGGTTGTGCTGAAAAAAAATGATACCAGGCAAGGCACGTGATTGTCAAATTTTGTGTCAATATGACAAAGCGTATAGGCGTGAATCTCAACAATATGTATTTTCACCTTAGGGGACAAGAAAAAATGGACTTTTTTCTCCTGCCATGGGGGGGCGCTCTTTTGGGGAGTAAAAATTCCTTCACAAATGTGTTGATGGCTGGACATTGCATCATCCTAGAAAACTTGGAGGCCAGTGAGGACAAAAATAAAAAGTTATAAGACTTTTAAATATGTGGATTTTAGGGTTGTCTTTGGCGCCCCCTAGAACCTAAACCGTGGGGTGCAGCGTCATGATTTTGATAACTTTTAATGGCCACGGGGTGTAGATTGTCCTGAGCAAATGTGGTGCCGGTGGACAGAAAGCCTTCGGAGGAGTTAGCGAAATTCCAATGTGTGCGGATCGGCAAAAAATGCGGAATAACCCTTTAACCGTACATTTGACAGATACGCGCGCATTGACTTTTTCGTAGATCTTATTGAGTTACATGTGTGTGTCAATTTTTGTGTCATTTTGACAAAGCGTATAGGCGTGACACTCATCAATGTGTATTTTCACCTTAGGGGACAAGAAAAAATGGACTTTTTTCTCCTGCCATGGGGGGGCGCTCTTTTGGGGAGTAAAAATTCCTTCACAAATGTGTTGATGGCTGGACATTGCATCATCCTAGAAAACTTGGAGGCCAGTGAGGACAAAAATAAAAAGTTATAAGACTTTTAAATATGTGGATTTTAGGGTTGTCTTTGGCGCCCCCTAGAACCTAAACCTTGGGGTGCAGCGTCATGATTTTGATAACTTTTAATGGCCACGGGGTGTAGATTGGCCTGAGCAAATGTGGTGCCGGTGGAACGAAAGCCTTCGGAGGAGTTAGCGAATTCCAATGTGTGCGGATCGGCAAAAAATGCGAAATAACCCTTTAACCGTACATTTGACAGATACGCGCGCATTGACTTTTTCGTAGATCTTATTGAGTTACATGTGTGTGTCAATTTTTGTGTCATTTTGACAAAGCGTATAGGCGTGACACTCAACAATGTGTATTTTCACCTTAGGGGACAAGAAAAAATTGACTTTTTTCTCCTGCCATGGGGGGGCGCTCTTTTGGGGAGTAAAAATTCCTTCACAAATGTGTTGATGGCTGGACATTGCATCATCCTAGAAAACTTGGAGGCCAGTGAGGACAAAAATAAAAAGTTATAAGACTTTTAAATATGTGGATTTTAGTGTTATCTTTGGCGCCCCCTAGAACCTAAACCTTGGGGTGCAGCATCATGATTTTGATAACTTTTAATGGCCACGGGGTGTAGATTGGCCTGAGCAAATGTGGTGCCGGTGGAACGAAAGCCTTCGGAGGAGTTAGCGAAATTCCAATGTGTGCGGATCGGCAAAAAATGCGAAATAACCCTTTAACCGTAATTTTGACAGATACGGCCGTACTGACTTTTTTGTAGATCTTATTGAGATACATATGTGTGTCAATTTTTGTGTCATTATGA